TAGAAAAGTAACATTTTAATGATGAAAATGCTCCCCTCTAAACCCACATTTCTCTTTGTTTTATATAATGAAGTCGATCGAACACATTATGTGACATAACGGTTTCTGTTCTATACTGAAGCTGGTCTAGCACGTAGTGCGCTAGACTGGCTTCTTGTCCATGTTGAAGCCAGTTTGGATTTAAAAAATATTTTGGACTCGGAGATGCATACAAAATTAATTGAGGGGGTATCTATTATTTTCCCTTGATTTAACAAGTTCCTTTTGTCTATCCATGGTAGGTTGATTAATTTGAACAGGGTTGTGCATAAGTTTGTAGGTGGTTATGATACACACCACGAAATATAAGAGGATCTATGGGTTGCCTAGGGGAGCAATTGAAGGTTGCAGGTTGTGTTGCCTAGGAGACAAATTAGTTAGAGCCAGAATAGGGGTGAAAAATTATTAAAAAGTAAGTATATTATGTTTACTGTCAAACTACTCCCTCAAGCATAAGACCCATTTGGGAGGAGTTTTTTAATTTGAAAATTTTGGAACCACCTAAAAATCATAGATGATTATTTTTGAAAATTTGAATTTTAAGATTTTCTAACACATTGGTAGGTCTCTATTGAATCTTAAGACATTATATTTCTCAAAGTGCATGGAGAGTACCATTTGGATATTTTTCCCCGGAAGTTATTATGGGTTGAAGAGGTTACATCCTCAAATTTTTTTATCTTAAAGTTATTCTTAAATTGAACTTTCTAGTAATAGATTGTATGCTTTCGCAAGAGAATGAAATATTTTGGCATTATTAAAATTATGTACATTTTAATCTTTTGCTTTTTTGAAGAGACATAGAGGCACCACTGGAGTTCAAATGAATTCCAAGTTGTGGATTGGGAGTACTTATATTTGAAAACATTGGTTTTAAAGTATAAAAAAATATATCACAATTTTCTACGCAGATTATAAATGTCAAGAATGGGCCCTTGTCGTCAACGTGGCAGAACCACAGAGTCCAATCCTACCCGCTAACACGTCAAGAAAAAAAAAAAATACTATACTTCAATGGCTTACGGAAAATAACAATGTATGGGGTCATTAAGGTTCAAAGAAAAGGCCTTTGACGTTATTGAAGCCCACACGATATCTTCATCATTGCTAATTATAGATTAGACAATAGCAATATGTGTAATCATGAATGTTGGGAGGTGGAGCCAGGAACCTATTTTTTTACTCACACACATATTCAACTCAATAAAGTAATTAAGGTCAATAGAAAGGAGATTCATAAAAGTAATTAATGTCGATAGAAAGGAAAAAATTTGTTGGTCTTTCTATAACATGACTCATCCGACAAAATCATGAAAAGCTTGGAGTAATTAACATAAGTACATCTGGAGGAGAGCTCATCCACTTCAGTTGCGGACCGACGATCCAACATTAGAATCTTCAATTCCCTGCCAAAGTAATTTAGGAAAAGCAAGTTAGGTGCCATCCAAAGAAGATCTCAGTGAAATTGTATTATTTGAAATTAGCAAAATAAATAAATAAATAGTTTGTTAAATTTGAATGCATCAAAATGATCTACTTACTTTGTCCCTTGTGTGCGAGTGTGTGAGCGAGTGTGCACATAGGTGTGATCCTCTTTCTATTAAAAGTTTAGATCAATGTTATCGGGATCGGACTGAACATCTAAATGGCAAGTGGTTTGGTCAATTTAAAATCAATCCAACCACTAGTCAACTAGTTGGACCAAATTTTATGAAAAAAAAAAAAGAAAATAGAAATAATAGTTTAAAATATAAAATATACCACGTAAATTTTTCGAATTTCATTTGGTTGGTTGAACAGGCTAGAACAACTGTTCCATCGGGCCAATGCACCGATTGGCTGTCTTACTGGTTGTACCACTGAATCGGCCCAATTTTGATAACCATGGTTAACAGGAACATTTCAAGGACCTATTCTAAAAAGCTGCAGTGAAATCCTACATCTAGCCTATGAGTATTAACCAACTCCATAGAAACCTAACTACTACATAGAAACATGTGAATTTCTAGGAATGAAAGACCATACTTCCATTGTATTTGAGCTTGAGATATCTGGAGGGTGAATTGCAGGTGTTACCATTTTAACTTCAGGCCACTGTGAAGCTGTAGCATCAAACTGAACGAACTCTTCATTTGTTCTGACTTGATTGCTCCTATTGGTCGATTGAACTTGGTCTGCAATGTTTCTTCCAGCAACATTCATCATAGAAGAGTACATAGATGAAGTGGGTACACATTCAGGAACCGATTGTGGATGGCCCCTGGAAATCAAATTTTTGCAGTATTAGAAGAAAATTATTTGGTCTATAGGATTCTTAATGTTTTTTGGTTCATTTTAATCAATTAGTTATGAAATGTTTTTCATGGAGAGCAGGCTATGGTTATGTTCACCCACCATTTTGTTCTTTTTCTTTTTATCTATGTTGTTAGCCGATAATTTATTTTCTAAGTATTTATGAAAAATACCTCAGGGCGAGCAGGGAGATGCAATTCACGAAATTCTAAAGTGGGGCCTATAATTACCTCTGCAAGAACCGATCCATATTGTGAGCTGCATCATTTGCAAGGGACCCACCAGCAATGGAGCTCTGTCCATGAGAACACATCTGCAATTTTTTTTTTAACCCAGAAATAAGTCACGCCAATCATAGCAGTAAAGGTCTTTATTTTGTTTTATAGAAATTATTGCTCGGAAAACAATTTTTTACCTGTAAATTACTTGGGTTGTTGCCTCCGAGCCGAATTCTTTCTAATTCTTGCTGCATAAAACAAACAAAGTTTAGATAGATTCGTTTTGGGATTAAATGTAACTCAAAAAACAACAAATTCATGTGGCCTAAGAAAACAAATAATGTTTGATGAATTTGGAATTTGGATTGAGAATTTACTTCACGATTTCTCACTCGAGTGAGTGTTTCTTCAAGGAGATGCTCATAGTATTCGGCCTGTGCTAGTGATCTTATCTCGATGGGCTTGCCTTCAAAAAGCCTGAAAGTGAAGATAAAGATGTAAATTTATTTTTAATATGGTTGATATTAAAGTATAGTTTAGTTAAATATTCATTTTCCCATATGGAGAAAGGGGGTACCTTAGTGTTCTTTGTGCCTCTTCCAATTCACACTGCACTCTATTAATCTCAACTAGAAGCTCCTGAAATTTTCAGAGTAATTGGTTCTCATGAGGAAAACAAGGATGTAACAAGAATAACATGATTGTAAAAGAAAGGGAATGAAAAATAAAAAAAGGTGAATGAGTTTGTGAGCGTACCGGGATGCGTAGGTTAGGAGTATTTGGGATCCTTTAAGTCAATCCACAAGGAACCCGATATAAGGAAATCAAACATTAAGAAGATAGAGAGAAACCAGACATTCAGAAGAGGTAAGCATAAACGAAACGCCCCTATTTCCCAAACTTGAGTCATTTGAGACCACTCACCCAATTCCACTCAGATTCGGTTGAGTAACTTGGTTGAGGCCGAGTTCCCCTTAGTTAGCTGTACAACTTGGGGATATAAAAAAATATAAAAGAATCTTTTTTTCTTCTTTAAAGTTGCTTTCTTTTATAATTTTTATATATGATTTG